CTCGACGATAGCTCGCGGAATAGGGAACCATACCTGACAGTTCAGCAAGAAGGCTTCGTAGCACGTAAATAACCCGGAGGTGGATTCTCGGCATCATGACCCTGTACGGGAAGACGGAACTATACCGATTCGGGGATCCCACGAGAATTCCTCAAATCCATGAGGGAACAAATAGTACTCGCGCTTGGACTATCCGTACTCCTCCGAAGCTTATCCCGCTTTGGCACACAGAAACTAGCGGGGGGAACACTGGCAACCTCTAAAGCCGACCAATACTCTGAGAAATCTGCCTCACTCGTGAAAGAACGCTGAAAGATTGGCCTGGGAAGGGTGAAGCTGTCGGAAACATCAAGGTCACTAAGGTCAAAAATTGATGCACGAGCATGATCCGAAACTTTCCACCCGGGAGACATGCTAAAATCAAAAAGAAAAGGAAGATTCAAAGGGAGAGTAGAGAGAGTAAACTTTTTAAGCCTAAGATAGCTTATGAATGAAGAAAGAACTTGGGACTCATTCCATATACTTATAAGGAAAAAATTTACTATTCACCTTTGGACTTTTGGCCATTAAAGTTCCGCCTAATTCTACCAAACTTGCCAAACAAGTTCAAACCGCACGCAAGAACTCCACGATTCTTACGAGCTGGGGGGCTAACTGTTGAGGTCAAAATCGGTACGATGGAATCAATGGCCAAAACTTCCCGTAAAAAAATACTAAATACGTTTTATAAAACTTGAGAAGTCGTTTTATAAAACTCGAGAAGTCGTTTTATAAAGACCGGAAAATCATTTTATAAAACTCGAGAAATCATTTTATAAAACCCGAGAAGTCATTTTATAAAATTCTAATAAGTTTCCGAACAAAGGAAATCCGCGGAAAACTCAGAAATCGTTATCTCGAAAGAACGAAACAAACACCGATTACACGATCTTCCGAATTAAGCACAAAACCGCGAAAACCCGTAGCCGTCGTAAAACGTGAGACGGTTCGGCCGAACTAGCTCGCCGTACGGCGAGCTGAACCGGTCCGGTTCGGTTCGCCGTACGTTGAGCTAATTATCCCGAGCCTCGATCTCCCACGTCCTCGATTCAAGGCATACGTCCTTCGATATGTCTGTGCTCTGAACCACGGTCGGAATGTCTCTCATTTCGTCCCGATCCGTCCTATCGTTCGAGTTTTACGATAAAACTGTAAAGTCTTGTTTTCTCGAAAGAACTCAAGGAAATTGTATATAACGGCAACGGTTAGACAAAACACCGAACATTGACTAAACTATACGGTTTACTCGAGATTTTTCATGAGAAATCGTAAAAAATGCGTTTTTAATAAAACTTCGAGTAAATCATAGAAAACGGCAACGATTAACCGAAACATCGAACATTGCCAAACTTTACGATTACCTTGAGAAACTTATTTAAAAAGGGCATCGTATCAGGAAACGATCCCGTCTAAAGTCGCAAAACGGTTTCTCATCGCTAAACGGCTCGGAAAGTCCTAAAACACGATAAACGCCCACTCGCGACTTTAACGAAATCTAACCCGAAGATACCGCGACGTTTTGATGATTTACTCATAGGAAAGAAGATAAATGTCAAATTCGAAGATAAATGGCAAGTTTGAAGATAAATAGAAGATTTCTGCGGGAAAAAAGAAAAGATCGAGATAAATGGAAGATTCTCGATAAACTCGAATCTGGGCAAAATGGAAAGACTAAACCGCCTAGGAAGAGAGTATATAAGCACGAAGGCAGAGGACAGAAGCAAGGGACGAGTTTTCAGAACTTTCACCACCAAACTTAGCATTTAGGAATATTTCCGTTTTCGTTATCGAGCTGCGTCTCAACTAGGGTTTTAGTCTTAGATTGCTAGGGTTAGGAATCTCGCCGACGGCTCACGCAGTTAAGGCTACTCTTGTTGTACCGTTCTTACGCGAATTCAGAATAAGAACCCCTTTTGCTCTCAATGTTGTTTTTATTCTCTTTTTACTTAATCTCGTCGTGTTCTTAATTGCTGGTGTGCGGTTCCGCAGATAGCCGGGTCCTCTGGAAATTTAGGTTTACTCAAAGTTCCCTTATTTACGATTTATTGACAGTAGGAGAATTTCGGTTCCCACAAGGACACTTAACTTTGACGTAGTAGCTGGACTGGTCAGCGATGTCATTGTAGGAAACATCCTTAGCCTCCAAAATCAAAACCAAAATGGAAGCCATGCACCGTCTTCAGGTGGTACACCACTCAAAACTGAGCCACTACATTCATAGATCATGGTTTTTATGTTTTAGCTTTCTAGTCATCACGTCAGGCTGAGTCGATAGACCCCTTATAGGCTTTTATTGTCTCTCTTTCTCATTTATAATAATCAATAATAAATATCATTGTACCCTCATAGTGAAAATTCTACCAATTTAATCATGGAAAGATCCTCTGAGAAAGATGGAAGTTAATACTCATCCTTGTTGTAAGATCAAAAATGAAGGAAATCGAGTCTTACAATTGGTTACAATCACATTCATAGATTAAATATTTTAACTGGCCAATAGTCCATAAACCTTTGTAAATAGTCCATAAACTTTTGTAAATCATTTATTGAAGATTCATCACTCTTATAAACTCTTATAAATTTTTTTTGTAATTTTTTTTATGAAAGATTCATCACTCTTTGTAAACTCTTATAATCATTTCTAAGTTATTTTTATAAAGGTTTATAAATCATTTATATGAATATATATAAACTATTGATAAAGGTTTATAAATGATTTCTAAATCGTCATAAGTGATTTATAAACATTTATAAATTATTAAATTTCCTATAAACTCTTTACAAACTCTTATAAATGATTCATAAACCCTTATAAATGATTATAGATAATTACAAATGATTTATAAGTTTCTATAAATGATCCATAAACCCTTATAAATGATTTATAACTTATAGCTTTTTGAATAAGTTTTTTGTTATTATGTTTTACGCACTTGAATAATACTTGCACAACTTTTTTTGTCTGAACTGAGCATGTAAACTTAGTTTCCTTCGCATGCCACTCATTCTTATGTTTATTTTGCAGGAGCATATGGAGTTTTTAACATTTTCTGAGAGAGATCGGGATAACGCCAAGGAACTGGTATCTTCTTTACCCTGGTACAGGAACACAAGGCACCATTGTGTGAAGAGGAGTAGCTTTTTCCATATCCGCAATACTCTCTCTTAAGTCAGCTTGTAACTGAGAAGTTGCAGGCTTCTGCAAAACGAAAGGCTCGTGTAGAGGAAGAGAAGGCACTGCTGTATAAAGAGGAGTAGTTTCATGCTTATCCGCTACTACATCTCCTAACACAGCCTGTGATTGAGAAGTTGCAGGCTTCTGAAAAGTGAATCTTCAGGTCGAGGAAGAGGAGTAGCTCCATGTATATCCGCAACAATAATATCTCTTAACGCAAATAGTGATTGACAAGTTACAGGCTTTTCATGTCATGGAAAAGAAGGCACCACCACATGAGCAGTTTCTTGAGTATCAGCAACAACAAAGTCTGTTTGGTTTTAGATTGTAATAAAGATATCTCTCATATTGTTTAGATTGTCCTTCATTCTCTGTATCAAGTATCAACATTGACGATTTATAGTCTTGTAAATATATAAGAGCTTTATTAAAGCTTCTGATCTTTCACGCTTCTCTTTTGTAACATGATTGTGGTTGTTTCTTTATTATGGTAGGTTTTTTATTGATGGTAAGAAGTATCGAACTTTCACTCTGTTTGATCCGATTTCTAGAAGTTCATGTTGTTCACTGCATAAGTATTGTGTTAAGATTCATTTCCTAGTTACCTAAACTATTCTTCAGCATTTGGTGTCATCTTCTTTGGTTCTATTATGAAATTGTCTTTGCGTCCTGCTACCATGTAACTTTCCCTCTTCAATCATAATCTGAATATCTTTAAGCATTATTCTACTTTTCTTCTTGTTATGTTTATTATGTCAATGCCAAATACAGGCTTTTGCATGTTTAGAAATGATTTTACGTATTTTTATAAAAGCTTTTAACTATTTTTAACTTAAAAACCAGTTTTATAAAATCTGATAAATCAGTTTATAATCCCTTATAAGTTAATTTATAAACCCTTATTAATTAATATATAAACCCTTATAAATTACTTTATAAATCCTTATTAATTAATATATAAACCTTTATAAATTAATTTATAACCCTTATTTTATAATTTCAACTATTATTATCACTAGATGATTGTTCGTAAATTTGCAGGTACAAACAATTTTAAAAATCTATTTATTAGGGTTTGATAGTGGTTTATAAATGGATTTTATTAGGGTTTATAACTTGATTTATAATGGTTTGTAAGTGTCTATAAACTGATTTATAAATGTTTATAAAATAAGTTAAGGGTTTAGTTATAAGTAGAATTATTAGTGTCTATAAACTAAATTTTTGAGTGCACAAGAAGCATGGGAGATGTTCAAGAAGTGGCCTACACAAAAGACACACATAGAATTCTTTGAAGATCTAAACTTTCGATTGTTACTAAATTGAATACATAGTTTTTAAATGATTTATAAATGTTAATAAAACATTTATAAACTTCTATAAATGATATATAATTTTTTTATAAATGATATATACACTCTTGTAAATTATTTATAAACTATTATAACAGATATATAAATTCTGTAAAAATGATATATAAATCTTTATAAATAATTTATAATCACTTATAAATGGTTTATAAATCATTACAAATGATTTATAAACTCTTATAAATCATTACAAATGATTTATAAACTCTTATAAAGGATTTGTAAACCTTAATCAATGACTTATAAGGGTTTATAAATAATTTATAAGCCCTTATAAATAGTTAAAAGTGGTTTATATAATTTTATACATGGTTTATTAACTTTTATCAATTATAAATGATTTATTAAATTTTGATAAACTCTTATAAATCATTAGTAACCTTTTATAGATGAATCAGATTAAGTTGTGGTATTTCCTGCCAAGCAATCAGTTTATAAATTAACTCCATGAATACGTTGAGGCGGGTTTACATGCTAAGTAGAGTAAAAATTTCTCGGAGAAAATAGATGCCATCTCATTTAAGTTTTTAGAAACTTGAAGACAGTACAAGTCTCCTGCTGCTCGGAACTTGTGAGCCCAATATGAGACATGCTCTACAAGATCCACTATATCCTCATTAGTTCCAACCTGTAAAAAGGAGTAGTATTATAAGGCATTGCAAAGGAGTAGTGCCTCTCAGGTTAATCACATCAAAAGGAAACAAGGTGAACTTTCACAGCATATATGACATGAGTGGAAAATTTACCAGTCGACAACCAATGAAGTAGCACGCCCAGTAGCAAAAAACGTGAGAACCTAGCACCAAAAGAAACGCCAAAATTCATGTAGATAGTTAGACATCTGATTTAACAAGAGCGAGCATGAGACCAATGACACAAGGTAAGAGGGAATATACAGGATTCTTAGCCATAAACAATGCTGGAACTTTGTATTTTTCAAACATTAGCTCTGCCGCCCTGTCAAGCATAGATTTAAGAAAGTCAGTAACACACTCCAAACTGAATCAACATAGAAAAAAGATATATATATATATATATAAACAGATAAATTCGGACTTCTCTCTCTCTGGTGTTGAGTGTTCAAAGGAGGCTCAGCTAGCAGCATGGGATGCTCCTTAGGATCAATCATCAGACAACTCCTTCACACATAAAGAAACATATTAGAGATGACATCAAACAACAACCAAGAGAAAAACTAACGCTTTATACCATTACCTGAAAGCATGCTCCCATATATTTTCCATCAAATCCCAATCAGAAACTATACCATCTTTGATCGGTGACAAGATCTGTAAGTCAGAAAATGCAATTTATAGCTTTCATAACAAACTTCACATTTTCAATACTAATCAAAAGAGGAAAAAAAGCTAATAACCTCCATATGATCCCAGCGGTAATTCAAGGCTTGAGATCCCACATAAAGCTTGCGTTTACCCTTCTCCTTTTCAGACTTTGAATCCTCAGAACTCGAATTAGTCTTTGTAGAATCAACATCCACATCCATTGCCTCTACTCCATCTACTGCCCCAACAACCTTATGAACGAACACATGAGAAGAAGAACCCTAAGTTAATAATTCATATGTCTTTAGATACAAAGGACTAACACTAAGCACTAACGACATCAAATGATAGAATCAAGACAATAAGAATCAAACAAAGAAGATTGCAAGAGTATAAAGGAGTGAGCTTTACGGAAGGGAAGACGGCTTTGAGAGCATCTTCACCGGCGTAGCCAGCCTTGCAAGTGTGAGAACCCAAGTTGACCACTATAGCTGACACTTCATCTGTAGAAACAAATAAAAGATTCAGACTTTATACCTGAGAATCTCCTCAGAGAAAGGAGCAAATTTCGAGGGTTAGGAAGAGAAACTCACCTCCGCCATACATGGCTGCCGGAGAACTTGTCGGAGGATTCAATGAGTGAGAGGAAACAGTGGTCATCGGAGGATGACATTGTTTGTTTTCGAAATTTGATCGACGGCTGATCTAATTGAAGAGAAGATAGAGCAAAGGTAACATTGTCTTTGATCATTAATGAATGTGTGTATTTATGAAAATGTCCCTTGATTGGTGGTAAAATTGAATAGTGGTATCAAACAAAGTGTATTAGTAGAATTTTCCTATTTACTTTTGCATTTTAAATCAAATTGTGAGTCATATTTGTCAACTTTTCCAAAAATTAAATAGAGATTAAACTCTGGAAATAACAAACAACAAATCCCTTGGATTCAGCGGTGAAGGTAAAATTGTCTGGATCGGTTCCGGAGTCATGTCTCAACAGACTTTTCACACGATCATATACCACTACAAGTCTACCTACGGTGAGAGACAATCCTATAAATAATACAAACTAAAACTTTAGAAAGTTTAATTATTAAAACATGAATAAACATAAAGTATGATGTGTGTTTTTGTCGTTCAAAATATATTATATATACAAATTTATAATAATAAGATTTTTAAATTAATTAGTAAAGAATTATAAATAATGATATCTATTTTAACAAAAACAATAATCTATAATATTGTTTGAGAAATGAGTTTCTTACGTTAATTCTCATGGTGGTTGATTCATGATTGCGTTGATACCGTTAATGTATTGTATTAGTTATTATAATATTCATTATTAGTATTTTTATTTTTCTTCTCTTTTTTATTTAATATTTTCCTTTTAAAAATTTATAAATATTTCTTTTTATTATATAAGTTATTTGGAAAAAGATAAAAATTATAAATTAAAATATTAAAATATGATTTTATCTTGAGAAATTTATATTGAGAGACACATTTTGTATTTCCAATTACACAAAAAGACACATTGAATCTAGGAGACACATTTTAGTAGTGATTTGTCAAACTTACTTTCCAAATATATGTAAAAAAAAAACTAAAGAACAACTAAACCTAATCTTTATCGTCTTTTCCATCGACTTCCTTTTTTATTCTATCTCTCCAAAAAAAAATATTCTTCTAATCTAAACATAATCTCTCACCTCTCATAATTCCTTTGAACCTTATCTCTTTCTCTCGTTTCAGACCATCACTTGTATCATGACAATTTCTTCATCACTTCAAGCTTAGTTCGTCATCGGCTTCTCCATACGCGGCTGAATTCTTGTTTAAACCCCCACTCCACGATATCCTCTCTTCATGGTTGTCCTCTTCTGCAACACTAGATTCGGCGGTTCACCTACGGCGAAACTCCAGATCCGTTGTTTTCTCTACAACCGTTCTTCTCTGCAATTTAGAATCAATAGTTTCTATGTCCCTCATAGATCCAAGTCAAAAATTTCTCAGCAGAATCCACAGCCACGACTAGCTTCTACATCATCAGAATCACCGTTATATCTCCCCTTTGGTCTCAGATTGAAAGCTCTATTGAATAGTTGTGGTCAGTATAGTTGTACTCCAGATTTGTGGTCGGTAGAACTGTGGTCAGGGTAATTGTGATCAGTAGAATTGTTTTTGGGAGAATTGTCGTCAGGAGAGTTGTGGACATGAAAGTCTTTGTCAGGTGAGGTCTGATCTTGTGCTTTGTGATCAGGAGAGTTGTGGTCGGTAGAATTTTGATCTGGTTGGTTCTGGAATGTAAAATCAAAATCGTTGAGAATTGTTGTTGAGAGAATTGTGGTTAGGAGAATTGTGGACATGGGATCTTAGTCAGGCGAGTTGTGATCTTACGCTTTATGATCAGGAGAATTTTGGTCGATAAAGTTTTGATCTGGTTGGTTTTTGAGTGTGAAGATAAGATCATTGTGATCACTTATTGGAGGAGCATAATAATGAGCCTATTCTTAGCCATTAGATCTTATGCATGTAGATATATCTAACGTCCCAAAACAATTCACTTGTTCTATATACCTAATTTCATTTTAAAAGAAACACATTTTTCCTAACACAAAAGGTAGGGTTATTTCTGTCGAGGAAAAAATAGTTGTCAAGAGAAAATGTGTTAAAGACATAATGTATCTTTTAGCGTAAACAAAAGTAAGATTGTGTTATTTTATGTAACTTCTCTTTAATCTTTAATATTGAACATGTTAATATTTCATTTTAAAATTTTATAATATTTCCTTTTTATTATATATATTATTAGAAAATTTTAAAAATTAAATTAAACTAAAAATATTAAACGTGTGATTTAATAAGGAACTAGATCTTGACCAGCCCTTGAAAGGGCGGGTATATGTTTTGTTTTGTTTTTTTATTTAGAAATTTACTTTTATATTTGTATTTTTTTAGAATTATATTTATCTTTTTTGTATAATCATGTTTGTGTCTAAATCTTAATTAAAATATATTTATAAAATAAAAATGATTTAAAAATTGACCCGCCGCCATTCACTTGTTTCTTTGTAGTTATATACACATATGTTCGTTTCCTTATAATCGTATTTATCTATTTTAGATCTTAACCCGTGTTTTGAGTTCTGGTATAATGTTGGTTTCTATTTTTTTGTGTAAATATATTACATTTGTCTGCAAATTTTTTTTATATGTATAAAAAATAATTTATACGTTTGTGTATAATTTTTTTAAAAATTGTTAGTAAGAAGTTTTGATAAATGTATTGAATTTGTAATGTTGCATAACTATACAATTGTGTCATAACTATTTTATACATTAATTTTGTACTTTATTATTAAATAGTGGTTAATTATTGTTTTTTAAATAACAATGTATAGTTATAATTTTGTTTAGCAATTAAATTGATAAAATTATATATTTTCATTAAATATTCATGATTTGATTTGATATATAATTATTTAATGTTATTATTAGATGTCTAATTAAAATTATACAATACTCAAAATCGATTCCACTTAAATCTATGGAATAATGATTAAATAAAAAAATTTTAGGATCAAACCACGTTTGATATAAACCCAAAGAAGAAAATTTATTAATATATATATATATATATATATAACTGTAGGTAATATATATTTTCGAAAACAAAAATTATCTATACTATATGTGTAGGTACCGAGAATTTAGGATGTAAGTTATTTTTAAAAAGTGTTGTTTACATATTATGTAGGTAATATATATTTTCGAGAACAAAAATTCTCTGTACTATATATGTTGGTACCGAAAATTTAAGATGTAAGTTATTTTAAAAAGTGTCATCTTGGAAAAAAAAACACTATTTTCTCTCTAATACCACCGAAAGGATCAGATCTCAAACTCATGGATCTGTAAAATTCTTCTCCGATCCGTTAAGGTACCTATAATATCCTTCGCTTCGATTCTAGGAGCATGTAAACTAATTTAGAGCTATCTGATAGTTTGCGTAAATCGTTTAAATTAAAATCTTTGTTTGCAGTAATTAGAAGATCTGGTAATTCTTCATACAAAATACACGTGTGTGGTACAACATTACATGCTCCACAAGTAGGGACTATTCATAACATAAGATGATTATTAGTTATCCCGTATTTTTATCATCTTTATTTAATTTTAATTTGTGTTTGATTAATTAAATAAAATATTTAGTAGCAGTTAGAAAAAGTAGATCCCGATTATCTTGCAATTAAAGTGGTGGTGTGTGTTGTTGAAATTTTAATTGGACCTAAGTATTATCAATTGGACATGTTCCAAATTTAATAGTACTAGGTACTTTCCCGCACCCTGTGCGGCAATTATATGTCCAACAATATTATTTTTCGTATTAAAAACTTTCATCAGGATGAAAATTAATGTATAAGAGTTGTTAATGTTTTATTCTTTTATTCAAAAACAATGGCGTTATAATCAAACCTAACTTCGTTTTCATCAACACGGCCTCTCTGCATCGCAGCTCGCACAACGACACCATACATAACCGCTCTTTGTAATATAAAAAAGAGAAGCATAAAGACAATTCAGTACATAACAGACTATTTTGCTGGAAAGGAATAGGAGACGACATGGAGAAGCTCCAAAGACTAAACCCTAACCAATCTCTTTGTCTCTTTCAATTCGTCATGGCAAGAGTTTCTAAAACCATCAGATTCTTCATCGTGTTCCTCTTGATAACGTTCTTTTTGTTGTCTTGTCAGGCACGTGTTCGTTTTACTCATACTAATTGCATGAGTGATCATGGCGACAAAGATGATAAGTGGAGAAAGTTCATTATAGGCTTCATCACTCTCCGAGGAAGCAAAAGATTTGCCATAGCTATGAAGTTTTGGTTTGCGGCGAGAGAGTAATCATGTACATTGTTTATACTATGTTTTTTACAAAAAGAAAGTTATTTCTAGCCAGATGAATGATCACATAACTTTGTTTTTTCTGCTGAGAAGTTTTGTGTCTATTGTCTATAAAGTGTCTACTGAAAAATATATATATACTATCTTAAAGTCAGCAGATTGTTATAATATGGCATGGATTAGGATAAATACCACTTAGACATTATCTATATTTTTTTTTTTTGACATGTAGACATTATCTATATTATTGTTAAAATACAAAGAATAGTAAAAGATAGATTTATGTTCTATCATTATTTTTATAAGTATGTAGATAATGTGTATATATATTGATTTGATCATTATTATCATTACTATCATTATTTTTAAGTAGTACAGATTTTAAAAATTCATATTTACTATTTTAATATAATTCCGTTTGTTAAAGTAAATATATGAGTTTCCTTTTCTAAAATTTTGCAGTAATTATTTTTAAGTAGTAATAAACGTTTATCTGGCTATAATGCAAGCTATCTTAGTTTTTATTTTTTTTGTGTGCCTCGTAATACAGTTTTGATATATAAAAGGTTTTTTTCTGATCCTAATATGGCCATGTAGTATTTTAATCAAATAAACAAATTCATAGGAAGATTATGTAACAAATAATTAAAGAGGCATAACTTAAAACTTTATTAAAAAAAACAACAAGGAATAAAAAAAATCATAACAGACAAGCTAATTATAAATTATTTTGATAGCAAAAAATATAAATAATATAAATTATCAAAAATATAAAAACCTATAAATTTAAAGAAACATATCTAATTTTTTTAAATTATTCCTTGTTAGTCTTCAACTTTGTAGGATTTTCATCTGTCCCCACAGCCAAATGTCCACGATCGAAAGCATCACAGCTACCCTTCCCAGAAGCCCATAAACTTGCCTCCTTAATATCCTTAATATATTATTTATCATCATCAGACAAACCCAAAGCATATCATGCATCTTTAAAGGAATGATAAATAATCCCTTTAACCGTTCTGATATTTTTGAAATTTATCAGACTCTTTACTATATTGAGTAAAACCCTCAAATAATAAGCCTCAAAATAAGATGGCGGTACGTAAGTAATTATGCATATTGAAAATACTCTATCACGTGGTTTCCATTCCTTTGTTTTCAAAACCCAAACAAATTTGGTAAAAAAATCAGCATATGTCAACTCACGCGTCACAGCTTCCCTTCCCAGAACCCCATCAACTTGCCTCCTTAATAGCCTTAATATATTCTTTATCATCATCAGTCAAGCCCAAAGTATATCATGCATCTTTAAAGGATTGATAAATAATCCCCTTAACCGTTCTGGTCTTTTCAAAATTTATTAGACCCTTTACTATATTGAGTAAAACCCTCAAATAATAAGCCTCAACATAAAACGGCAGTACATAACTAATTATACCTATTGCAAATCCTCTATTACGTGGTTTATATTCCTTTGTTTTCAAAACTCAAACAAACTTGGTAAAAAAATCAGCATATGTCAACTCACGTGCCTCAGGATATTTTCTGTTTACTTCCATCCAAGATAAAAACTTAGGCTGGCTAACACTACATTTAGATATCACTTCCTCTATTGGATCTTCTTCATTATAAATAAGAAATTGTTGGCCAGGCAGATGAAAGAAAAGCTTAGTCATCGGCGTTGTAAAGGCTCGAAGCTTTTTGTTGTAGTTGTAAGAAGTGGTGTTTTTTTCGGACCCATAACTTTGGATTTTTCTAATAAGAAGTTTTGTGTCTATTGTCTATCAAGTGTCGGTCTGCTGAGAAATATATATCTCTATAATATTATTTGAGAAGTCACTTTCTTAGGTGTCGCGCTCACGTTAACTCTCACGCTGGTTGATTACTATGATACCCCTAACGAATTAAAAATATATTTAACTATTATTATTTCCTTTTTAAAATCTTCCAAATAACAATATAAAACAAAAAGGAAATATTTCTAAAATTTACAAAACTATTTAAAAACGAAAAATAAGTATATATAATATGGTTTCATAAAAAAAGAAAGTTTACAAAATAGTAATATTTAATTTAAATATATTTTTAAATAACATAAATTATACTTTTTAAGTAATTATACTTTATATCTTCTTAGATAAAAACATATTTGTATATAATGTGTTTTCATAAAAAAATTTCATACAAATAATCTTGATATTAGAAAAAGAAATATTTTTTCTTTAAAAAATAATTTAAACAATAAAATATATATTTTCAAAGTAATTAGTTTTTGTATATATCTATCTATTTTATTAGATGATTACATACAACAATTAAGTAAGATAAACTGATATATGTCTAATTGACAAAAAAAATTATAATTAGTATATTTATTTGACTATAGTATTTTACCGTTACAGAAAAAAATATAAATTATATTTTACTTATATAATATAATTTCTCAAAAACAATCACATTTTTACTGCATATTTTAAGAGATATTAAAAACAAAACTAAAAATAAATTTAATGGTAAACATCTTTTGATCAGATAACTACAATTCTTTTAAAATATCATAACACTATATAATTTAACGAGGTAGATATATTATATTTTAATAGTTAATATTATATGTATTCTTAATAACTCTTTTGATGTTTAATTTTCTGTTTTTATGTTTGTGGAATTTAATATAACCATAATCAAAATACTTAAGAAAATTATAATTATTTATTTTAAAAATTATTTAAAATAAATTTCAGTTTACCATCCAATCAATCTAAGGCATAAATTATTTAAAATTTCTAAAATATTTAATTATTGTAAATATTGATAGGTTTTCATAAGCTTCTGAAAATTTATTATTACTTATGTATGTAATTTAGAATCAGACACTTTAGTTTTTATTTTTTTCGTTCTAAGCACAAAAATATTAAAATACATAATCTTACTAAGATATACTTATATTTCTAAGATAACAACCAACATAAATGTAAATAAAACAATTAATCAAAAATTTAAGATATTTAGAATAAAAAAGATTATAGTTGAATTCAGAGAAATAGATAGAATCCAATATATATATATATATATATATATATATATATATATATATATATATATNCAAAAATATTAAAATACATAATCTTACTAAGATATACTTATATTTCTAAGATAACAACCAACATAAATGTAAATAAAACAATTAATCAAAAATTTAAGATATTTAGAATAAAAAAGATTATAGTTGAATTCAGAGAAATAGATAGAATCCAATATATATATATATATATATATATATATATATATATATATATATATATCCAAATAATAAACTAACTAAATATAATATATCTAAAATTATATATAACTAAAATAATATAATATTATTAATATAAATATACATAAAACTATAAATTAATATAAAAGTTAAAGTAAATATCAATCAACTATTAATATATTTATTTTATAAATATTTATGCCCGTGCATGAGCACGGGAAAATCACCTAGTACTATCTTAGGTCGGTAGATTATTATAATAAGGCATGGATTAGGATAAATACCACTTAGACATTATTTATATTATTGTTAAAATACAAACTATAATAAAAGATATATTTATGGTCTATTATTATTTTTATAAATACGTAGATTCTCAAAATATAGATCTAAAAATATATATCTAAATATTATGATAAATATGATTAAAAACTAAAATTTATGAAAATACTCTAAAATTGTGGAAAACATGACACCTCAGCAAAATTACTTCTTAAATACTAGTATAGATTGATCTATGGTTAGTTAGTATCCTTTATAAAAAAATATCAGTTTTCCCTTATTTACATTTTTTATACTTTTAGCATTTAATTTTGATATTTTTATACACTAAGTGATAATCTCTATAATATTAATTAAGAAGTCAGTTTCATACATATCCTACTCATGTTAATTTTTATGATGATTTATTATGGAAATATCCTTAATAAATTAAAAAGATATTAAATTTAAATATTTTATTAACTTTTTATTTCGTAATTCTGTTAATTAGATTTTTTAATTTAATATAATTTTTTATCTTTTTGAAAATCACAATATATAATAAAAAGGAAACATTTATAAAGTTTAAAACGAATTTATAAACGAAAATATATGTATCAATAATATGATTTCATTAAAAAAGAAAAATTTACAAAATAGTAATATTTCCTTTAAAATATACTTTGAAATAACATAAAATATAGTGTTTCAAAAAAAAGGTTTAAGAAAAGGGAAAATTTTACTTTTACATTTTGTTTAGTACCACTATTCATATATACACCAGGACAAGGAGGACATTTTCAGATTTATCTAGATCATTAATAGGAAAAAGACAAAATAACCCTTTCATAAATTGATCATAATTTCCTATCTCTTTCTCTCGAGAGTTCGACAGAACAACGGCACTGCAAGAGGACGGCGACGAGATAATCCAGAGTTCCACTTGGATTTCACCGATGCGAGCAAGGGGAGACAATGGTTTGATGGAAGAAGATGATGTTGACGCTATTATCGCGGAAAACGGTGTTGACTGCGAAAGCGATTCCGATCTTCCTCAAACCTCCGTGACTTTGCCACCGCTGCTCAGTCCGGTGACGTCGTCGCCTTGCGCACCGCCATTGGTACTTCCTCTCTTCTTCTTCGTTTGTTACTTTTATACGAATCTCTTAAAGCTATGGTGCCGACCCTTTTGGTCAAACTTTAGTTTTAGTTTCACTTTCAGTTACGTTTTGCTTTGATTAGCTTTGGTAGGATGTAAAGCATCAAGCTTTTTAATGGAACTAGTCATCTTTAAAACCAGCTGTATAGAAGAGTGTACTTGCCTTGACAGACTTTAACTCAAAACTTAAAACATAATCTGTGTTCTGTCTGTTTTGGATTCTGTTTGGTTTTGTTTGAGTGATTTGTTGTGTTTCTTCTCTTGCTTCTTCTTCCATATGATAACATCACTGCTCTGTTTGTTGTTTGTGATTAGCTTTGCTCAGGATAGAGAAGCAAAACAAAAGAACTTCAGTTTCTGTGTAGTGTAATGTGTATTCTGTCTGTTTTGCTTCTGTTTTGAGTGATTTGTTGCTTGAGACTGTGATGGACATACCAAAAGATCTGCATTCTCTTTTCACTGATGAAAAGTTGGTTAGTTTCTACTGGTAGGCAAGTATAGTTATCAGATTTGCATCGTAATTGGCTGATATAATGTCCTTATGTCTGCGATTTTAGTACAAAACACTGCTTATAAAGACAACATCCTTCTTTTTTTCCTTTGAATTTTGATAGACAATTTGAATGGGAGAGTTGATGAGCCCCTTGAGGATAATGACTCGGCACTTCACCTTGCGTGTCTATATGGTCACCTCCCTTGTGTTCAGGTTTCTTTTGCTTTTGCTCTTACTCTTGGTCATGTCTACCCAACCTTTGATGTAAACTACTACGCATTAATCGCCTACTGAGTGTTTACTGCAGCTTCTCCTGGAGAGAGGTGCTAATATGGAGATCAAAGATGAAGATGAAGCCATTCCTCTACATGATGCTTGTGCTGGAGGTGAAGTTGGTCTTGGCCCTCTTTTCCTACTCTTTCTCATAGCATGTTCAAGTATTTTAGCTTTTCTTTTTTTTTGACTTGGGGGCTAACAGGATACTTAGAAATAGTAGAGCTTCTTTTTTAGCCGAGCTACTGGTCCTGAATGTGTGAAGAGAATGATTGAAACTATCGATGTAGAAGGTGACACTGTAAGTATTATCTATCCTTCATCTACAAACCGTTTATAAAGTCTACAAACCGTTTATAAAGTCTACAAACCGTTTATAAAGTCTATAAACCGTTTATAAAGTCTATAAACCGTTTATAAATTCTATAAACCGTTTATAAATTCTATAAACGATTTATAAATGTTTATAAACGAAATCAGTTAGAAGGTCTTTAAATCAATTTTTTTTGTCAGCGCTCTTTAAATCATTTATAAGAGTATAACTATTTAGAAACGCTTATAAGACGATTTATACGATTTGTAAAATAAGTTATAAGGTTTATAAAGGCATGCAAATAATTTATAAGGGTTTATTAATCATTTATAAAGAGTCTATAAACCTTTTATAAAGGATATGTAAACAAGAAACAGAGGAATCAAAGGTTTATAAACCATTTATAAAATCAATTTATAAAGTTATAATTTTATATTAAGTTTATAGGGGGTATATATACAAGTTATAATAGGTTTAGAGAGCAATTAAAAGGTCCCTAAATCGGTTAAAATAATCTATAACCATTTAGAAAGGTTTATAAAACAATTTATAATGGTTTATATGATAGTTTATAACGGTTTATAAAGGTATGTAGATAATGTATAGATGTTTAGAAAAACAATTTATAAAGATTATATACCTTTATAACGGTTTATAAAACAATTTATAAAGATATATAAATTATTTGTAAGTTTATGCCATTTATAAAGGTTTATAAAACAAGTTATTAAATCTATAAACCATTTATAAATGTTATAAGAAAGTTATGGAAGTTTATAAATAATATTTTTTTTTCGTTTATAAGCCTTTATAATCACTTTATAATTCTTATAAATCAAAAGCTAATTTATTAAAATTAATAAATAACCTTATAAATCCTATAATTAGTTTATAAACCTTTTTAAATCAGTTTATAAACTTTTATAAATCAAACTTATAGACCATTATAAATAAAAATGTGGTTAATCAGAATGTTCTCTAAATTATTTTGATAAATATTTCTTAAATTAAAAAATAAATCTTAATAAATTAGTTTATAAACCTTTATAAATTACCATTATAAACATACATGGGATAAGTCAATAGATGGTTCAGAGTTGCTAGAGCTCTTACATGAGTTCAGTGAGATGGTATTGGAGAAGAGCACAATATAAACTCGTGATGAACATTTGCAAGACAAGAAGAAATATGCTTCCGTAGCATTTATAAGATTTTATAAATCATTTAAGGGTCAACTAAATCATTTATCAGGGTTAGCAAAATCATTTGTATGGATTAAAATTCATATTAAAACATTACTCATAAGTCTTCTTTATTTATAAGAGTTTATAAATTAATTTATAAGAGTCTACAAAAAAATTATAAGGATATATAAATCAATTTATAAGAGTTTATAAATTATTTTGTAAGAGTTTATATAATCATTTTAAGAGTTGTAAGAATTTATAAAAAAAAATTATAAGGGCGTACAAAACCATTCAGTTGCTTAAAAAACATATTAAAAGCATCATGGATATATGTTTAATAGTAGAATTTATAAATAATTTTGTAGGATTTATAAGAATTTTTACAACGAATTTATAAGATTTTATAAATCGGAGAGAGTTAAAAACATTTTATAAGTTTTCATAGATCAATTTAAGAGTATAGAAGGATTAAACTTCCATATATATAACAACTCCTATGATGTGTAATAAACTGCAGGGAACAATGATTGATTTTGCTTTACATGGAAACATTTGATCTTACAATGCTTCATGGCATTAACTTTTGTGGGGATCACTTCTTCACAGTTAAACTTCAAGGACCCTGCCTTGAGCATTGGAAAACTGTTGACGTCGTGGCTTTGCAACTCGGGTAGAATAATATTTGCAAAGAACAATCATACAACATGTCATCAAACACCGCATGACACTAAATCAAGAGATCTTAGTTCAATATCAAAAACAAACACTCACTGAAGAAATTTCAAGCAAATTAAGACAAGTGAAAATCAAATCAAGTTGTCTTTTCATTGCTGATACAACCTTAAAGTACACTCAAGTACCATAACAACAACGACTAGTACTAGAAGAAGACACAAATCTCCACTGCTAGAACCCACCAGTTAGAAACTTCACAAGCTTCCTTCAACACTCAAATCAACGAGGTGATCTTAAACAATAAAAAACTATCCAGATTGTGTTCTACTTTGATAATATATTCCCAAATGATTGCTTCTTGGTTGGTGTAATAGGGATCAGAGGTTTGAGAGGGTGACTAAGAATCTAAAAGTGGCAAGAGTGTTCAACACATTGGTAGAGGAAATGAAAGCAATGGGAATAGCATCTGTTGATGGCTCGGAATGTACAGAAGTGATGGCTCCAGTTGCACACAAGGACCGAAGCCCTGTTCTACTCCTTATGGGTGGTGGTATGGGTGCAGGAAAGAGCACTGTTCTTAAAGAGATTATCAAAGAGTAAGTGAAAAAAATCTAATATATAAAGGTCTCACTTAAGATCTTTCATTTACATGGTAACATGGTTGTGTTGGTTTGGGGTTTAGACCATTTTGGGCAGGAGCAGATGCTGTAGTGATAGAAGCTGATGCTTTCAAAGAATCTGATGTGATATACAGAGCTCTAAGCTCCAGAGGCCATGCTGATATGATCAAGACTGCTGAATTCGTAAGGTTCTTTGTTCACAAAATCAATCATATAGACAAGGAATCGAATCAACTCTTATATAATATAAGAACAAAAACAAGAAAACATATAACCTTATGATATATGCAATATCCACAAAATGTTGTGAAACTCTTGACAGGTTCACCAATCATCAACAGATGCAGCATCATCACTACTAGTAACAGCTCTCAACGAAGGGAGGGATGTGTTAATGGATGGAACACTCTCGTGGGTACCATATGTGGTACAGACCATAACCATGCGAGGAACGTGCATCGCCACCGTTACAGAATGGGAGCTGGCTACAAGGTTGGTGAAAACGGAGACGTCATAGGGAACTATTGGGAACGCATAGGGGAAAGACAACAACTGCAAGAGGATGGGAAGGAGAGAAAGTCATACAGGATAAAGTTAGTTGGAGTTGTGTGCGATGCCTACTTAGAGAAGACCAAACCCTGCTTGTGAAACAAAAGCTCCATGATTTCAACACAGACATGGCTTTGGAACTGACTTGTAAGTTATATGGTAACTGTGTGGAGGATTAAAGCTTGTAAGTTATATGATTGCTCTTGTCTTCCTTGCAGTGGTTGGAAACACATCGTTCAATAATGTGGTTTGTAATATATTTCATGATCACTTGAGAGAGAGAGAGACTAATGGGACAGAAGCTTGGGATCTGATTCGTCGTCCTCTTCCTCTGTCTTCTTTGTTTCCACTAATAGGATCGAAACTCAGGATTCGCTACCACACGTTACTCTGCCTTGTCACCGGAGACGAGATAGAGAGCGATCAAGGTGTGACGGAGATGCGAAAATGGAGACGAGGAGAAAGGCCAAAGCTTCCAGCTTCCAGCTTCCACCTCCACCCTCCGGAGCTGCTACATCACCAGGTTTCTCATTCCGATCAACAGCTATCATCCCCCTGGGCTCAAATACTTAGGCAGACTCAAATGCTGGAGTACACCGGAGGTTGTCGGAGTTTGTCGGAATTCACCGGAATGTCATTGGTCTGGTTGGATTTGGTGGCCGCAGAGAATTGGAAGATCCTGGGAGATCGATTTGCAGATCTCCTTACAAGTAAAATGCTACATTAGGTTAGGGTACTATAGTTTTGACTATAAAAATTTTAAGGATAAAGATGATCAATGTAAAAGTGAAATAGTGTATTATGAATGTGCTAGTTTTAGCAATTTCTCTTAAAAAAACTACTTTTAAAGTAATAAAATACTTTCTTTACATCTATCTTTTTTTTAGATGAAAAGAAAAAATATATGTGTATATAATATGATTTCATAAAAAGTTACAAAGACAATCTTGATAACTAATAAAAGAAATATTATTTCCTTTAAAACATAACTTTATATATATTGAAAGTAAAATATTATATAAATATTATTTTCTTTCATGATTAAATCCTATAATTACGTAACATTAACTGATATATATTTAATTGACTAAAAGTAGTTTATAATTATCAAATACTTCAATTCATTTTTATTTCATTCTAAGAAGAATATATATTAAGTTATACATAATCTTACTAAAATATATTTACATATCTAAAACGACAATGAACCAAAATGCAAAATAAGAAAATTAACTAAAATTTTAGTAGAAGAAATAAATATAAACCAATATATCAATATATCAAAATGATAACCAAATTTACTTTTAACCCAAAAAGGCAAAAACAATCAAACTAGCTAGATATAATATATCCAAAATCATATATTTACTTCAAATCATTTAATATTATTAATATAAGTTATACATATAAATTATAAATTAATTTAAAACTAAAAGTAAATATTAATCAATTATTATAATTCATTTATTTTATAAATATTCATTTCGTACATGAACACGGAAGAATCACCTAATATTTTAATAATACATTCTAATGATGGGCCAATATAAATATGTATGAACACACACACTTTTTAATGAGTTATTCTTGGGTGAATCTCTAGGTTCACCAATTAATAGGATTGTGTTATTTTATATTTAATATCTTTTTAAAAAACAAAATGAAATATTGTCAAGTTATATTGTGTTTTTAAAATAAAAAGGTAAAACTAAAAAAATTTGGGTAGACGATCTCTTTACCCATGAGAACTATCATATAGCATCAGATCCCCACCGAACTATGACCTAATGCTAGATCTCCACGAAATTGAAAATTACAAACCTATTTCTCCCCGAATCAATACTTCAAAACTTAATTACCCACATACGATGATTTTAATTGGTTTATTCTTAACCAAACATCTTAAAATCAAGTAAACCAAACCAAAATCTAATTAAAGAAAACAAAATCTTCTTCTGTTGTAAAATAAATCCATTAAAATGTTTACATAAGAATGTTTACGGTGATTCAGGTGAGAATTTAATTAGATTTTGGTTTGGTTTACTTGATTTTAAGATGTTTGGTTAATAATAAACCAACTAAAACCAATTAAAACCATTGTCTGTGGGTAATTAAGTTTTGAAGTATTGATTCGGAGAGAAATAAGTTTGCATTTTTCAATTCATGGGAATCTAGTATGAGGTCATAGTTCGGTGGGAATTTGATGTTATATGATAGTTCTCGTGAGTAAATAGACCGTCTACCCAAAAAATTAATAATAGTTGCCAAAAAAGGAATTCAAAAAAAAACAAATATCTTTAACGCCGTCAGCAAACACTAAACGCTAAATCATAAATCATAAACTATAAACCCTTGGATAAACCATAAACCATTGGATAAATCTTAAACACTAACTCAAAAATACAAAACACTAAATTTTAAAAACACTAAACCTTTAATCCTAACCTCTAAACCCCTGGATAAATGGTAAATCCTAAGGTTCATGGTTTATCCAAGGGTTAGAGTTTAGTGTTTAAGATCTAGTGTTAGTATTTAGGGTTTAGTATTCTATCGACAGCATTAAAATATTTTAAAAATTCTCTTTTTAAGAAACTATTACTATTTTTATTTATTTTTATCCAAGGGTTTAGGAGCTATGATTAAGGGTTTAGTATTTCAAGATTTAGTGTTTAGTGTTTTTGATTTAAAGTTTAGAATTTATCTGAGACCTTAGGATTTACCCAAAAGTTTAAAATTTAGGATTTATGATTTAGAGTTTTGGTGATAGAGTTATGAATATTTAATAAAAAAATTTACAGTTATTGTTTTAATCTTCTTATTTGAAAAATATAATATAACTTGATAATATTTTTTCTCTTGTTTCAAAAGATAGAAATTAGGAAATAACAAAATACTATTGGTTATTGGTTAGGTTATTATATGCGTTCTTCGGATAGAGCGAATAAAAAAAAAAGTATACTTTTAGTTCTAATGAGAATATTAATTTAAGGAAGAATGCATATTTAGTGATACAAACTGAGCTAATTCAAAATCATATTATACTGTTTGATTCAAATTTGAAAAACTTTCTAACTAATGTGTGGAGATTTTTACATCTCAATGTTAACCACTTATATCAAAGTCCAAAACTATATTTGCTTCTTTTTTTTTGTTAACAACAAACTATTATAGCTAAAAGTAGTGATAGTTTGATTCGTAAATGTAAACGAAATCATGACCAACGTGTACCAGCAAACGAACTCATAGCTAAGATGGATACACGCTAAATTTGAAAAATTACCATTAGACTACTACACCTAGGTTATAAAAAGAACAAGCCACCATGTTACATCAAACAGTACTAATCAGTCTGAGACACAACCATATCTCCACTCTCGCTATACATATATATTTCCTTTTTCTACAAACACACGTGTGGACATATTTCATTATCCAATTTAGACAGTTAATTTTGTTGTTTTTCTAGTAGTTATCAATAGCATCCTCGAAGGCGGTACGTTTCATTGCAGTGATTAACGATACGCCAAACAAGCTAAAACTGTTTATATCTAAACACGTGTCGTCATTTCCTCACGTGTCACATATTTAGCCTGCCACCTTCTGCCGTCGGCTCCATAAGCTGCAACGTATTATAGAACCGACCATTTAAAGACCCATTGCAAAAGGAGAAGAAAAGAGACTTCAATCGAATTGATATATTATTATCACAACTTTCTCTGTTGATTTGATAATGAAAATGGCGTCCATGCAACTAGCCAGAGCTACTTTCTTTAGCCTCTCAAAAGCTTTTCCTATAGTTCGATCTCCCTCAACTCTCGCTGCTTCAACAAGGAAAGTCTCTCGTGTCTGCTTTGCATCTTCTGTTAGTCACTCCGAGGTCACTTCTACAACTTCACTTACATTTTTTTGTATAGATATTTATATGATTTCTACAGAAAAGAGTAATTTAGCATGCAAGGTCATGTGAATAGGGCTGGATGTGAGGTGAGAGGTATAACCCCCAACAAAATAACAAAGCCCGCCCATTGTAAAACCTAAGTGTATATTGCACATACAAATATGTTTTATTCTTTTGATAAAAGAAAGAGGAAATGACTAGAATAGCACTAAAAATTTTTTGTCACAAATATAACACTTGGGAATAGAAATGACCAAAATAGTACTTAATGTTTTATTAAATATACAATTTTACTCCTTGGGTTAACTAATCCTAAACTTTTTTGTTTAGAGTTGAGAAGCGGGGTTTTGTGGATAAGATTACAATTTTAAAAACTAAAAAAAAAATTAAAATTTTCAAAACAAAATGTGCTATTTTGGTCATTTTAAATTTTGAGGTCTATTTTTTTATAAAGACTCAAAAGAGTGCTATTTGAGAGAATTGCCCAGAAAGAAATGAATAGAAAGCTACATACAATATATATTACATACAAATATGTTTGAACATGCTTAGCCAAGTACACAAGTCATACTGATATACTCAGAGATCTTACGTATCCTATTTAGGATCTGAATTTAAGATCTTAAGTATTTGGTTCTCAGGTTTACGTGCTGGACAAGTTATTAACCATATTCCAAATTTGAAGTTTTTTAATGTTGGTGTTCTTTCAGGGAAGAGATCCGGTAGATAATTCTAGAGACTCAAGGGCAGATGTACCTTACGGTTCAAAGAAATGGAGGGAGAATACCGAAGAAAATTATGCTCAAGGAGTTAAAGACAAAGCTAATGAAGGAGCGAGCAAAGCTGCTGACAAAGCTTACGAGACCAAAGAGCAGGCTAAAGACACAGCCTATGAAGCAAAGGAAAAGACTAAGGACTATGCTCAAGCAGCTAAAGACAAAGCTAACGAAGGTGTGAGCAAATCTGCTAATAAAGCTTACGAGACCAAAGAGCAGGCTAAAGACACGGCCCATGAAACGAAGGAAAAGGCTAAAGACTACGCAGAACGGACCAAAGACAAAGTAAACGAAGGGGCATATAAGGCAGCGGAGAAAGCAGAAGATACAAAGGAAAGAGCTAAGGAGAAAGCAGAGGATACAATGGACAGTGCAAAAGCAAAAGCTCAAGATGCGAAGGAAAAGGTCAAAGAGTATGGAGAAGAGACTAAGGAGAAAGCAGAAGGGTTTAAGGAGACGGTGAAGGGCAAAGCGGGAGAAATTGGAGAGAAGACGAAGGAGACGGTCAAAGGAGCCTGGGAGAACACAAAAGACACTGCACGGACTGTAACCGAAGCTGTGGTTGGGTCTGAAGAGGACGCGGATAAGGCACGAGCTGATATAGATAAAGGTGTGGAAGATCTAACCAAAAAGGCGGGGAAAAGAGCTGAGAAGGATCGAAAGGAGGATGAGTTCATAACATTTAACTGACAGAGAGATAGGGTCTATTCTATATGTGTGTTTGCTTTCATGTATTACCCTCTTTCTAAGCTACGCTCCTCTTGTGTTGTGAAAATGCATAAATAAATAAGATAAGTTTTATGGATGGTTATGTCTAGAATTTTTAAAGGGAAACTGGTTGATTCTTCCATGAATCAATTGCTTCACAATTTTTTCATAAACGAATATTTAACTCCTGTCCACACGAACAACATTTCATATACGAACTATCGGCAGTTCAGTTTGGATTAAAATAAAATGAAGGCGAATACAATGGCTAAGATTTCTAATGTAATGTTAAATAAAATGAAGGCAGAATTTTAGATCGTTAACTATGGCTTATATTAGATCGTTTTAAGAATTTTAGATCGTTTTAAGATTTCTAATGTGATGTTTTTGGGATTAGAAAGCGGATATGACATTGTTTCTGATCTTATTAATACAAAATTATACTAAAACAACGTTGTATTCATTTTATTTAAATCCAAATTAAATCCATTCTTCATTTTAATACAATTTATGACTTTGTGGCAACTAGTATAAAACTGATAATTCATGTATAAAATTTAGAAAAAGGAAATGTTTGTGTAAATTTTCGTATGTACAAAAAGTTCGTGTACAAAATTCAATTAACGGATTTGTTTATGTGGATTTTGTAAAAAAGTGTGTATGAATAAGCCAGAAACAATTATATCATGGGGAACTCAGCCATTCTCCCAACTTTTAAAGGCAGTTGTCTAAAATATTTTTCCATCCGTTTGGTGTCAGTGTTTGGTACTTTTTCCAGTTTTGTCTCTGTTTTTACACATTGATCAACAAAATCAAAGATATAGTAAGAGTTTGATGATAAAAATTAATAATAAGAGTGATGATTTTTTTAATTTAGAAATTTTTCGAATCTATTTTTTATCACAAATATAACCTACAAAAAAAATGACAAAATATTTTTAAGGAAATAAATAGACATCTATACTCTTAGTCTTAGAGTTAATAAATCAAATTTGAATTTATGGTTTAGATTTAAAAGATGGAACTTAAAAATAAATAGTAAATATTTAAAATAAGGATTTTGAAAAAAAAATCAACAAAATTTCAAAATAGATTTTTTCAAAATAAAATAAAAATTGGAAAAAAAAACAATTCGAAAAATTTTGAATTCAAAAATGTATAATACGAAATAATAGTAATAACCATTTTAGTTTTTATTTTATTTTTATTATCGATTTAAAATTATTTTAATAGAAATTTTTAAAATAAAATTTATAAAAATTTCAAAAATTTCAAAAATTTCAAAATACAATTTATAAAATAAAATAAAAATTGAAAAAACAATTCTAAAAAGTTCAAATTCAAAAATGTATAATACTCAATAATAGTAATAACCATATTATGTTTTATTTTATTTCTATATATATATTCAAATATCTATAAAGTAAAGATAGAAGAATATTTTACTTCTATTATGGAATTTCTTTTAGTCATTTTCTCCTTCATTAATTTCTTTGTAAAAATAACTTATTTTCTTCTTATTTGAAAGAATTTTGCTTACACTACAAGAAAACTCGTCCTTTACTATGACGGGTTTTCCTCGTTATTTCCTAGTAAATGGTCATTTACTAGGAAATAACAAGGAAACGCGTTTCGTCGAAAGACATTCATCGTAAAGCATATTTTCCTCGTAATGTCCTAGCTAATTTACGAGGAAACATTTCCTCGTAAAAGCATGGATAAGTTTTCCTCGTAAGGTCCTCGTAGCTTTTTCTTGTAATGTCATAGTAAATTGTTTCCTCGTAATCTCGTAGTACGATCTTTACGAGGAACTTACTAGGAAACTTTACGAGGACTTTACTTCGAAATCTTTACGAGGATTTTGCTTCGAAATTATTTTTTTTCTATTAAAAAAATATTTATAAATTAAAAATTATATATATTAAAAAAATTAAAAAAAAAACAAATTATAAATAAAAAATAAATAACTAAATAATTATAAATAACTAAATAATATACAATTAATAAGTTTTAAAATTCATAATATACAATTAAAACTAAAAAAACTAAAAGGGATGCTGCTCGTGAAATTGCTGCACGAAGTCGTCCTCTCCAATGTTGGATGTCGGCTGTGACTGTGATGGTGGAGGCTGTTGGGGTGGAAGGGCTCCGCTTTCCCGTCTCTGACGCAACATCTCCACCACTTGCGGGTTTCCAACCGCCATAATGTCGACGATCTCGGTGAGCGTACTCACATGAGACTGCGTCGCTTACAACTCCGTCCGCAGCTGAGCATTGGCATCGTCTTGTTGGTGAACATAAGCCGATGTCACTGCGGGGACATCGTTAACCGAGCCAATCCCGACAATACGGCCCTTTTTTCTAGGGACGACCTGTAAATAAAAATATTAATAACATAAGGAAAAATTTTAATAAATAATAAAATTAATATTAAAACAAATTATTTACCTCCTCGTAAATCTTATCCACTTCAAGAGTGGATAATACGACTGGATCCCCAGTCTGCTGAGTCAGCTGGGTCTAGCGTTCATCAACTCGGGCAACAACCTCGTTGTAGATCCGCTCGGAAGCAGGATCTACAAACTGCCCACCCTTTTTCTGGCGGGTCCGCTCGTAAAGGTCTTTCAGAGATGAAAGAACTCCTGTCTCTTTAGCCTAATTTTTTTTTAAAAATTAAATATTAATTTGGAATATTCAAATAAAGTAAAAATTAAATAGTTATAAAAAATTATCTTACCATGTCTAGACGAACTCCCCCGTGAGGTTTTCGGCCCGTGGTGTGAAGCATCTTCGTGTTGCCATACTCGTCTGTGGTCATGCGGTTCCCGGAGTTTGTCTGGGAGGTTCTGATCGAATCCGGCAACTCCCAATAGCTGATGAGGCCATCCCACACCGTGGTTGTGAGGCAATCCGGTTTCCCGCGCTCGTAACCGTCCACCTGATTTAAAATAATTAGAATTAAAGTCAATAATATATATTTTTAAAACTATATACATATATTATAATTTATAAATCTATACCTGAAAGTCGCCCTTCCAGTTGTAGACTATGTAGCACAATCGTGCTTTTGCCTTGGCCTCGAACTCCGACTTCACCCGCTGGTGAATCCCAATAGACCAACGATATTTTTGTTGTAACCAGAAAAAATAAGAGACGAATTAGTTCAATAATATTAATAATTTTAAATGATTAAAAATAAATTAAGTTGATTCACTAAACTTACAGCGAACGATTTGAACCACGTCTTTTTTGTGTGGTTCGCCGTCATCTTCCAGTTTGGAGCTGCATCGGCAAAGTATCCCTTGATACAGTCCGTGACACTAGATCCGACACAATTGTCAAGACCAAACCTGGAAAGACAGAAAATAAATCATTAATTAGATTAAGTCATTAATTAGAACTCCCCCAAACTTGTCCCTAAACTTATTCAAACATATTAAAGCAAGATAAAAGATAAAGAGAAATATATACAAAGGATAAACATGGGAATGCCTCCCAAGTGCGCTTGTTTTAAGTCTCTAGCTTGACTTTGTGTGTTTGCTAATCATAAGTATCAAAAGGCTGAGCCAATGCACCTTTGATCCTTCTCCTACAAGAACAAGAAACAAAGTGTACAAAGAAGCACACCACTGTCCATAGAAAATAGACAGATTTTTCATCAAAGAGCTTCACTAAAGATATATCATGAATCATGAGATGCTCTTTGAGGTTCAAATGGTCATGAGAATCAAATGCATTTGGTGGAAAAACAAAGTCAACTAGAGGTTCAAATGAAGTTTTAACAGAGTAGTCAACTCTATCTCCATCAATCAAATAAAGCACAATATTCACATTCTCATGATTATTTTTAACATGGGGGCTTTCTATCTCAAGCAAGAGCTTATCCACATTAAGTTCATCCCCTAAATCACTTAGCTCAAGAAGAGGTCTAGATTTATCAAGCATAAAAAACTCAGATTCGAGATCAATTGAAGCACAAAGATAATTCTTGTCAAAATAAACTTCAATGTGATCTCTAGCAAGCTTTTCTACTCTCAAGTCATCTAGTTTCCTAGTTTCACATATCAGATCGAGACATTCATTTAAAAACACCAGAGAATCAAGATTAGGGACAATGTTCTCACCACAAGACAAGCAAATTTCTTCAAGTTGAAGTTGTAAAGAGGAAATTGTTGTACTTTCCAGCTGGAGTGGTGGAACCCAATACATTACCTCATTAAGAGCACGAGCAACATCAAACTCATGCTGAGTAACTTCCCTTCCTTCAAACTCTGCTCTATCCCTAATGAGGTGTATCCGGACCATTTGTGCTAGATATCTCATTGGCTTGCCCCAATACTGTCTCATTCTCTTAAGCTTTTGTAGTTCCACTCTTTGGTCTGGTGTGAGTATGCATATATCAAAGGATGGTGGCTTCACATATGGCTGATCTTCAATGTGATCTTCAAATGTGTTTTCCTCTTCTTGTGGCTTCTCAAAGTAGAAAATATTACATTCAGGGACAGTTATTAAGTTTCTATTAACACTATAGGACACATTAGACTACTCAGACACTTTTTTCTAACAGCTCACTTCTTTTCCTAAAAACTAGTTACTTTTCTCTTCTTCCTTAACTATATCGTTGACTAAAAAAATCAAGCAAAATTATGTATTAGCGGGAACAAACCAGAGCCACACATTTCTCTCCCTTATTAGTAGTTTAGATTAAAAATGCACACTTAACAAGACTTATATATGTCTCTCTTCTTATCCTTTGGATTTAATTTTGTACTATGAATTTTAATGGTCCAGATTACAAGTTTTATCTTTATTATATCTATCTTCATCAACCTTTTTTTTTCCCACGGCCACAAAAACAATCAAACCTTAATTTATCGCTCAGTAATTCCAAGAGCATCAACCACCCTTACTCTATTTACCAGGCTTTCCAAATTCAGGTTTGTTTTATTTAAGTTATAATCTAAATAGCTTAGTACATAATA